ATTTGTTTATTTTTTTCTTTTCCAGTGGAGCCAGATAGAGACAAGACAATTGAAAACGGATAACATAAAATGTTAAGTTTTGGTAATTACTACACCCGCCTTATTCACGTGTTGTTTCCTACACATTATTATAAAGGCATTAGTTAAGAAACGAAGTGCAAAGTGGCTTCAATTCACGCTACCATACACTTGGAAGTATCGGGAATTAGTGAGAAGGCTTTGTATAGAAACTGATTTCAAACTTTTGATACCTTGTTGACACACTAGGAAGTTACCAATAGGAAAATTCTATTCTATATATATAATAATACATTGAACATCGACATAATTGGAATGGACATGCCTTATAGATGAGAATTGTGGCACTCCGAAAGAAAGAGAGGAAACGAAGTTTCGGTCTATCTTTATCTCTCTCAAAATAGTACCGTAGTTAAGACGTAATGAGCGAGAAAGAGATAGCGCTAGACCGAAAGCATAGGCTATCTCTTTCACTCTTTTCAAACCAAAAAATTACTGCAGATTATTTCTGGTACGGCATGTCCATTAGTATATGTCGATGACAATAAATAAGTGGCTTTAAATGAACGATGTAGGTCTTCTCTGCAAATAAATCGACATCAACAGCTTGCAAACAATACGTCAATAATGTGATTTGCTTTAATCAATATCGATTGTTCGTACCTAGTAACTCCCACCTTTATTCCTCAATGATAAGGTTTATTTTACCGATGTCATTTACCTCTATGTCAAAGAATTTTCAGAACAACAAGGTAACGAACTTAAAATAGAGCAATGTACGGAGATGTTACAAATACTTTGGCCCATTTGATTTGTTCATGTGACATAGTTGGCGTAATGCCTATTTCTATTGAAGCTGTGAAGAATGATCGGTCAAGGATTTATGACAAGACTTCGAGTGTAATATATTATTTTGTGGAATATTTCATTAATATGTCTAGTATGGAAGGAAATATACGAATTTGTTAATTGGGAGATCCATTCTTAGACACGAACAGACCGGCTTAACCGGAGAGATACCACGACAATCCAAACAACCGTGAAACAACGCATAGGGTCTGTTTCGCTGTGTGAATGAGGCCGAACCCCTGTATGTAACTACTCTAGTGTTACAATACATCGGCGGCTCCGATTGCTTAAAATCAGACTATCAGGTGAACCGTCTGCTCCTTTGCGACTATATTCTATAAAAAATGTACCTAGATAACGTTTTTGAAGAAACTTATAGGTATCAATAGTTTGAAATCAGTAGGATGAGAGTATGTGTGTATAATAAAAGACTGGATAAATGTGAATGATCATCAAAATTGTCAATCGGCTATTCTTAGTAGCCTTTAAAGATTGATTGTTGATTTTAAGTTAGCAATTAAATATGGAGGTTATTTTCTTTATAAAAGTTGTCAATATGGGTGTACTATACTATACAACAACAAATTAATGTTGGAAAGTGGCTTCTGTATGTTCATTGCTATTATTTAGTCGCCATTTTAATGTAACTTGCACTATTTAATTAGTATACAAGCTAAAATTATATTAATTTCATTTTTCATACTGTCTATAGTTCCATCAAGTATGTAAGAGGCCATTAGCTTCATTTATTCACGCCAACATGTTATGTATAGGTATTTATCTTACATTATCCTATTATATTATTTTAAAGAATAAAATGAAATAAGCATATATTAATTGATTTTGGAACTAATTGATAACTGGATCGAATGTGAGTTATCGTTATGTTTTCGCAATTTATTCCTGTCGCTTGTTTAGATACGAAGATTTGATAAAAAGCTACCATAATAATTTGAAGTTAATATTAAGTTCGGAGTACCTATTAGTAGTAAAAAAAATCTAGAAAATTGTATTCGGATTAGCCTAAATCACATTAAAACTTATGTAACAGTATACTTGTAAACTAATTTGCACGAATTGTTTCTATATCATAATATAATGTTTATTGTAGAATTTCTACAAAAATCTGTGAATGTAGAATGTTATCCTTAGTTGCCAAAAATTGAGTTACTACTAGTCCAATACTGGTACAAATTGTGTTCAATTTACTAAAGATATCCTTCCAAAATATGAATAGGTTTTCTTTCACCTTGAATGCTTATTTCCTAACTTGGACCCTGCAATGTATCTTTGATTATATGCAGAATAGTATTGTGAAATCTTTAGAAGTATTTTACAGAGGTTTTTGAGTTTATTTACTTTCGTTTTTGTTAGGGATTGCACTCAAGTATTGCTGGGTTTTTAAAAAATCTCAGTAGTAGCACGTTATTGCTGGGTTTTTAAAAAATCTCAGTAGTAGCACGTAGTCTGAAATTGTGCCCGGAATATGGCAATAGGCTCACCCCCTATTACATGGGACTAATAACATAAATAGTGAAAATTGGGTGTTACATTGTACAGTGGCATAATCTGCACCTCTGCCTAACCCTTCGGGGATAAAAGGCGTGATGTTATGTTATGTTAAACCTAATACACCAAAATGTCTCATAAGAAGGACATAGCTAGTAACTGTTTCCTTAATATAAAATTACTTGAAAATCTTTAATTAGGTACTACCCAGTCCTCAAGCGGTCACTGTTGACCGGTCTTCACTTACTCCTTTATAGCCATTATTTCTGATGATCAGAGACTACTTTTGTATGAACGAATTTTGTGGATTTTTCATAATCGGGGATAAATAAAATACTTAACGGCCAACGGTTTTGCCACACTATATAATATATAACTGTGCCACAGTATACTGTGGTTTTGCAAACCCTTGCGTGTATATTCAGGACTTAACATAGAAGTGTGAAGTAAGATAACATTTTAACCTTCCTTAGGAATTAGGCTATCAAAAGCAAATTTATCTAAGTATGTATAGAAGCGAACTAAACAAACAAACATGACTACTTACTTAACTCGTCGAGTACCGGTTTTATAGACACAATTAAAGAACAATAGGTCGCGGTCACCGGTGACCGCTTGGTGTTTGACAGTTTAAAGATGTACTTAATTATTGACACTATTCGTTAGAAATTGGTTAATAAAATGTTAACTAAGTATAATATACCAACCTACTTAATATAAAAAAAATTAATAGCTAAATGTGTGTGTTAAATCTCGAGACCGGCTGAATCGATTTTGCACACATTACGCCTTTTATCCCCTAAGGAATAGGCAGAGGTGCACATTACGGCACTTAATGCCACTGCAACACCCACTTTTCACTATTTATGTTATGGGTCCTATGTAATAGGGGTTTTTTTTTTTAAGGGGGGAAAATCATCGAATGACTGCCCCCGCCTGGGTGAGGCGGGAGGGAGTGTCAGACTCTTACTGACTAAAAACCACCCCGTTCCTTCTCCTGCACGTCGAGCCGGAGCCCCGGTTACCCGTTAGGTTCTCCGCGAGCCTATTGCCATATACCGGGCACAATTCCAGTCTGTGCTAAGATTTTATTTAAACCCAGAGCCTAGTACTTTGCCCGACCCGGGAATTGAAGACGAAACCACGCGGCACTCGGCCAACGAGGCAGTATAGAGATATAGAAAAAAATTTTTTTTTGTTATTTTACCCTAACTTCTTAGGAGTAACCGGAACAACTAATCTTTACTGCCATTGCAATATTATCCATTTTAAATTCTTACAGATAAAGTAAAAAATAAGATAATAGGAGTTACTGGCGGGTGATAAAAGTACCTAACAATAACCTGTTTGTTTTCTTCATAAAAAACAAAGAAAAAACTTTGCCCTTTGATAAAATGTGTAGGTACCTAAAGGTATCTCGACCTCTTTGGAAATATAGATTATACTCGAAGTCATCATACTTACTGTTATTAATTTTTAGGTGATATCAATTTGATGGGATGCCTAATCAGCATGACAAGTTATTAAAATCCAATTAGTAGATATAAAAATGGCCCTGTTATTGTACGATTACGAAAAATCCACGAAAGTTGTTCATACAAAAGTTACCTCTAAACATAGGAAATCCTACTGTCTAACGGATGTGCTTACCGGACACGAAAGTTTCGGTAGGTTCCTGTTCGGATTGGGCGGGAGGAAACGCTCGCGCGTTTTCACTGCGAGGACCGCCCGGAGGACACGGTGGAGCATACGGTGGCTTTATGCCCTGCTTGGGCTGAGCACCGCCGTTTCCTCAGGGATGTATTCGGCGACGGCTATCTCTCGCATCCGGCTTTGGTGCAGGCCAGGGTACGGAGCTAGGGGAGTTGGGATGCTGTCTCCTCCTTCTGCAAAGCAGTCATGCTAGCCAAGGAGGAGGCGGGGCGCGTGAGGGAACGAACATTCTCACGCCCCAGCCATCGCGGGAGACACTCCGGGCGTCACTCCGGGCCACCGTAAGTGCGAGTCTGCGGATGGCGAGCAAGAGTAGCTTGCCGCCCGACCAGAACCAGACCCGTGCGTGCGGCGCTTTGTGCTCCGCGCGCGCCTCAAAGAGCTATCAGACCACTACAGATGGGGCCCAGTAGGGCCGATGGCCGACACGGAGCCGTCGAAAACCTAACGGGTTGCCGGGGCTCCGGCTCGAAAAGCTGGAGTAGGAACGGGGTGGTTTTTAGTCAGTAAGAGTCTGACACTCCCACTTGCCTAACCCAAGGCGGGAAAAGTCATTAAATAATTTTGCCCCGCTAAAAAATTAAACAAGTAACAAGGTCTATTATAGAGTGAGTGAAGAGAGGATACCGGTGACCTCTCGAGTATTTAGAAGTTCACGAGAATGCTAGTGTACACTTTATTTTGTGAAATTACACGAAATCGGTGTACCTACTTAAAGAAACAATAAAAATCCTGTATTTTTTCTATAGTAATTAATTAATGTATGTATGTACATACCTGCCTGTAAAAAGATAAATCAAGTTTTTCAATGATAGAGTTGTTTTTTAAAGTGAATATAAGTATTATTTATAATTACTTACCAATTTCTGAATCGCAAAGCATCTTTACATAAAAATATGCTTTTGTTACAGGTTTGCGCAGTGACAGGTCGCGGTTACACATATGCGCAAACGCACAAGATGTCCATAGCTTTTGCCGCCTCCTTGCGGACAAAATTAAAACTGCAGAATGATGACAAGATAGCCATAGTGTTACCGAATACCCCGGAGTATCCTGTCACGGTATTGGGCGTCCTACAGGCTGGCTGCATTGCTAGTATGATGAACCCCGTTTATACAGCTGGTAAGTACCTAATAAAAAAAGAGAGAAAAACAAGTGTGGGAGAGCCATGCTTCGGCACGAATGGCCCGGCTCGACCGGAGCCGGAGTGACCCCCACAGCCTCACAGAAAACGGACTTGAAGTACGCTTGCGTTGTATTTCGTCGTGTGAGTGAGGTTACCGGAGGCCCAATGAGGGGAGGGATCCAATCCCCAAGGATCCTCAAACTCCTAATCCTCAAAAGGCCGGTAAAGCACTTGTAACGCCTCTGGTGTTCTCGGTGGCGACGATGATTGCTTACCATCAGGTGATCCGTCTGCTCGTTTACCTGCTTATGCCATAAAAAACACATTCCTAAGAGACAAGTAAAAACTAAGCAATCAGCTCTAACACAATCAAGTGGCATGTATGTAGTTGTAGATGTACTGGATGAACCAATCAATGTCTTAAAGACTGGAATTTGAATTTAAATCGATTAACGATCGAAAGACTAATCAATTTGAAGTTGTAAGTACTTAAATATCGTGGCATCTCTTTCATTTTACAAAGTTTTGTAGTGACAGAACTAACTATAGGTACTTAGGTAAGCGCGACTTAAAATTTAGTGATCTTTCAGCATTCGGGCATTAGTTTCATTGATTTAACACTAGACCTATACTGCTACCTAACGGGTTACCGGGGCTCCGTCTCGAAGTGCAGGAGTAGGAACGGGGTGGTTTTTATTCAGTAAGAGTCTGACACACCCTGGTGAAGTAATTCGATGATTTCCCCCCCTTAAAAAAAAACCTATACTGCTGTTAAAGACACAGTAACATCAATAATTATATGACTTTTCATAATACCTTAACCAAGAATCTTCCTTAAACCCATCTTCTTTTACAGAGGAACTAAAACGTCAAATCGAATTGGTAAAATGCAAAGCAGTGATTACATCGAAGATATCTTACGCAAACATCAAACAGGCGTTAGCAGAATTGAAACTGAACATACCAGTAATTTTAATAGACAACGACGACTTACCTGAAGGCACTATCAAGTTTGCAGAATTTGCTCAAGACTTTAGCCTCGACACAAATTGTTTAAAGGCTGTGAAGAGAGGTCCCAAAGATTTGGCTATATTACCTTTTTCGAGTGGTACTACAGGGTTCCCTAAAGGTGTTGTGTTGACTCATGAAAGTGTTGTCGCTATGAACCAACAGATTGCGGACCCAGATATCATTGCTATTAAAGAAACTACTGGTAAGTTTTCTAATGATTATATTTTTCTGCCTCACTGTCTCGATGGCCGAGTGGTCGCAAGTGCGACTGCCGAGCAAGGGGCCTCGAGTTCGATTCCCGGGTCGGGCAAAGTATTACTAGGTTTTTAATTCTCAGTAGTAACACGGAGTCTGGAATTGTGTTCGGTATATGGCAATAGGCTCACTTCCTATTACTTGGGATTCATAACATAAATAGTGAAAAGTGGGAAATACAATGTAACATTGTACAGTGGCATAATGTGCACCTCTGCCTATCCCTTCGGGGATAAAAGGCGTGATGTTATGTTATGTTATATTTTTAGTAGGAACTTAATTGTGTTTATTGTAAGATATCAGGTGATAATAAAGAACTAAAGGCCGATTTTTGAAGCGTCAGTTAATTTTTAACTGAGGCCTCTTTTTCGTTTAAAGTAATCGTAACTAGTACGCGTTCGGCGCTTTGATTGGTTGCTTCATTGGCGCCGGCCAATCACAGCGCCGAACGTGTACTCGTTACGTTAACTTTAAACGTAAAAGATACTCGTACTAAGGCTTCTGTATAATAAAATTGACACTTAAAAGTTTTATTATGAAAGAATTGTCAAATATTCAAAGTTATTCCTCAGTTAAAATTTATCTGGCGTTGGAAAAATTGGCTATTCTAGGTAACTCCGCTTAATACTGTTTGAAGGTGAATTTATTACATTTTTGGATAGTTAAGAATCTGTTATCTACATAATAGGCAAATCCTTTTTAACTTTAACTATAACTAGCTTTTACCCGCGGCTTCGCTCGCGTCACAAAAGAATATAAAGTAGCCTATGTGACATATACCAATACACACAGCGCCATCTATACCAATACTTTTATTTTTCCTCGGGAATATCAATTTTTCCGGGTTGAAAATCCCTATTATTTAATCCGGACTTCTAGCTTTACGTCTGCAAAAATTCAAAGCAATCGGTTGAGTAGTTACGGCGTGAAGGTGGAACAAACAAACAAACAAACAAACTCACTTTCAGATTTATAATATTAGTAAGGAGTAAGGAAGTAAGGATTTATTTTGTTTTAGCCACCAACCAAGCAGTGTTACCAGGAATTCTTCCATTTTTCCACATATTCGGTTTCAACGTTCTGATGATGAATCAGTTGGCGCTGGGGTGCAAATTGGTCACCTTGCCGTACTTCAAACCTGAACTATTTCTACAGACGCTCGTTCAACATAGGGCTGAAGTTTTATTCTTAGTTCCACCTATGGGTAAGGCAATATATTTATTTTTTATTACAAAATGCGCTTCATAAATAAAGCTGCAAGATGTCTATTATTTAAAATTAATGCTTAGAAACCCCCTGGTTTACTATGCAATTTAATATATTGTATAATGGTGTAGCATACGTAATTAAATCTTCTCGAACTTTAAACTAGTTTTTCAGCATATTAATGAAATAAAAATTAAATAAATATAAAAATAGCCTTTATTCTACCACAAAACATGCTTACAATATTCCCATAATTATTTCTAGTATAATATATTATTTCAATTTCATAATTTCATTAATTTCTTTGCATATATGTATACTGTTTTTTTTTGTGCCCATTAGGTACCTACAACAAAACTGAAAAGACAATGAAACTGCTCAAATCATCAATAGAAACAGAACCCTTTTTGTAATTTTCTAATTTAATTCTAAGTTATTTCACTATACATTGCAGTGGTATTCCTGGGTAAGCATCCAGCTGTCACTTCTAAACATTTGGAGTCAGTGTACGGCATTGTAAGCGGTGCTGCGCCCATCTCTAAGGGAGACGCCGAAGCTGTTATGAAGAAAAATGTAAGTTCCAATTTACTTTACCGAAGACCCAATCCCGTACCCGTTCCACAAATCCCTAATCTTCTATCCAACCTCCAATCCCCAAAACCCCAATCCCCCAATTCCCGAATTCCCAAAACCCCAATCCCCCAATTCTCAATCCAAATTTCTGGCCTCCAAAGGGTCGTCAATGCACTTATAATTCTTGTGGGTGTCCTTGTGTGTTATGGCTTACCATGGGCCGCACCGATTTTAATTATTCTCAGGCGATGCCTGCTTGTCTAACTCCTATTTCATAAAAAAGTATTACAACCTTTTTCATTTTATAGTCAAAACAAAATCTGTTCTGTTGATTCAGACTTAAATATCATATTACAGTGTAATAAACAAGTAGGTAGACATAGGAAGCAATGCCTCGCCTTGACCGCAAATTGATAGTGCAAAGACTGCAGTCTGACTTGCTTTATTAATGTGAATTTTATTGACGTAGACATATAGCTTAAATTACAGTAGCTTGTATCAAAAGTAGTAGGCGGTACTAAGTGCGTTATAAGAGTTTAAAAAAGAAATCATTTCTTAATTAAATATGATGTGCGGTTTACATGTATCGACCTTTAGCCTCTGCAACATTAATTAAATAATACAGATAATAACAGTCATTAAAAAAATTAAAATCACATGCCTCCTCTTTTTTTATGGCATAAGCCGGTAAACGAGCAGACGGATCACCTGATGGTCAGCCATCACCGTCGCTAAAGACACCCAAAACACCAGAGGTGTTCCAAGTGCATTTAAGTATAGCATTTAAGGATTGTTGGAGATTCGAGGATTGGGAGATTGGGAAGGGGGGTAATTGGAAAATACATTCTTATATATGCCAATAATATAGCCACATAAGTACTTAACTAGTACCAATCATATTATTCAAGTATGCAAAAAGTTGTGAACTTTTTGCAACCAACAATATTAATGCAACAATGGCGTCAGGTTAAGCCGATTTGTGATAAAAATACTTCCTTTCACAAATAAGCCAGACAATGATAGGTTTTTTTTTTTTTTTTTTTTTAAGGGGGGAAAATCATCGAATGACTGCTCCCGCCTGGGTGAGGCGGAAGGGAGTGTCAGACTCTTACTGACTAAAAACCACCCCGTTCCTTCTCCTGCACGTCGAGCCGGAGCCCCGGTTACCCGTTAGGTTCTCCGCGACTCCGAATCGGCATCGGCCCTATTGGGCCCCATCTGTGGTTGTCTGATGGCTCTTTGAGGCGCGCGCGGAACGCGACGCGCCGTACGCTCGGGTCTGTTTCTGGTCGGACGGGGAGCCACCCATGCTCGCCGTCCGCAGGCCCGCGCTTACGGTGGCCGGAGATCGTCCCGCGATCCCCGACGCCCGGTGTGTCCTTCGCGATGGCTGGGTCGCGAGGAGGCAGCGCTTCGCTGCCTCACGCGTCCGCCTCCTCCTTAGCTAGCATGACTGCTTCGCAAAAGGAGGAGACGGCATCCCAGTCCCCCTCGCTCCGCATCATGGCCTGCACTAGGCCCGGACGCGAGAGGTCGCCATCGCCGATCACTTCCCTGAGGGCACGGCGGTGCTCAGCCCACGCAGGGCATTCCGCTACGGTGTGTTCCACCGTGTCCTCAGGGCGGTCCTCGCAGTGATGACACCCGGGCGTTTCCTCCCGCCCCATCAGACACAGGTACCTCCCGAAACTTCCATGTCCGGTGAGGACCTGCGTCAGGCGGTAGGTGAGGACGCCGTAGCGTCTCTCAAGCCACTCCTCAAAGAGGGGACTTACCGCTGCAATGGCAGCGAGCCCAGCCCTCGGTTGCGACAGTCGTTGCTGCCATTCCGCCATGAGATCGCGCCGGAGCTCATCCCGCCACGCACTTATCTGGCGCGGCAGCGGAGTTTCGCCCCGGCGACGTGCCTCCGCGCGCATGTTATACACGCGCGCGAGCACCTTCGCCTCCAGATCCCACGGCGGTAATCCGGCAAGGAGGTTCGCCGACTCCCCAGCGATCGTGCGGTATCCGCGGATCATTCGGATCGCCATGACCCTCTGTGACTTGAGCAGCGTCCGAGCAGGACGCCGCAACAAGTTCGGCGCCCAAACAGGGGCGCCGTAGAGGGCCATGGACCGCACGACCCCGGCGTATAACCTCCGGCAGGAGGCGTTTGGCCCCCCGAGGTTGGGGAGGATGCGTTTGAACGCAGCCCCCGTCCTCTCCAACTTTGGAGCCAAACGTCGGAAATGCTCTATGAAGTTCCACCGACTGTCGAGGACGAGTCCTAGGTACTTCATCGCCGTCTCGACGCCGATGGTAACCCCTCCCGCCGTTATTTGGGACCCACCCGGAGGTGGCGCGTTCCCGCGGCCATGAAAACACATGGCCTCGGACTTGTGGAGCGCCACCTCGAGTCCCAACTGCCGGATTCTTTCAACGACTGTCGCAACCGCTGTCGCCATTAAGTCGGCCGCCGCCTAGACAATGATAGGTAGGTATTATTTGTGTTTTCTGTCACTTAACTACAAGCCTTAAAGCCTGGTTTAAAGTATATTTAGTACCTGTTTATTGGTAATTTAAAACTATGTTTTATTATTGAAACAATAAGCTACAAAAATGATGATTGAAATACATCATTGAAAAATGATGTAGTGACAAGTATTGAAAAGGGAATGTTACGCTGGTTTGGACATGTAGCAATGAATGGATGAAAGTAGAGTAACGAAATGAGTATATAGAGCATATATTAATGGGGCCGTCTCTAGAGGGCGCACTAGACGGCCATATAGTGACCAGATTGGCGATATATTAAAGTAGGTCCAAATTAAAAGTACCCTTAACCGACGAGCATGCATGAAAAGATTGTTGGCTGTTGATGAAGCGAACGAGTAATAAATGTAATACAATGTACTCTTACTAACTAAAAACCAGCCGAGCCGGAGCCCCGGTAACCTTTTACGTTCTCCGCGGCTCCGTATCGGCATCAGCCCTATTGGGTCCGTCCGTGGTGGTCTGATCGGTATTTGAGGCGTGCACGAAACGCGACGCGCCGTACGCTCGGGTCTGGTTCTGGACGGTGAGCCACCCATGCTCGCCGTCCGCAGGCTCATGCTTACGGTGGGCCGAGGCACATACATACTTATCTAACAACGCATTGTACCAGAGTTCATTGTGCACTAGTATCTGGGTCTTGATAAATATACCGATTGTTAGATGATATTAGATAAATGTGTAGCCAAAGGTACATCTGTATAGGATCTGATAACACAATGTGTGCTTAGGTACAATCAATTTGATAACATGGAATGTATAATTAATATTAGTGACTTGTAATTATTATGCTTATCTAGATGCTTTTTTATACCCTGGGAACTTTGTCTGGCCTTGAATATTTGTCTGAGTATTTTTGTTATATTTTTCTTACATTCTCCTAACAATAGTAGGTAAACGCAACAAAAAAAGAATAAGCGAAATCGGTATAACTGTTCTCGGGATTTGCGCTTAGCAACACATAAAGCGATTCATTTCTATTTGATTTTGGAATCTAAATTCAAGTGAATGTATGGTCGATGACTCGATGCAATGGCTGGACAAACAGCTACCCTCTTGTTTGTTGAAAGTTGCGGGTATAATGTGTTTTATACCGGGAGACGGTGTTTCAACGGATAAGGGGCTACTACATAATGTTTGGCGGAATGGCGGGTTCGATTCCCACACGGGACATTCTTTGTGTAATACAAAAATATTGTGTAGGTAATGTCACACTTATGTGTTGGTAAACACACCCAGGACGAAAAAAATATCCTAAGAAGCAATATGGAATAAGTTCCACATTACTTTGTTAAAGTTGTTAAACTTTGCTCCTGAGGGTGATCTAGATAAGGCTAGATTTAAAGTACTTCCTTTAAATTTGAACTTTAATTTGAATAATGAAATAAATAACACATAGCATTAGGTACATCTTGCCTTTTATCCCCGAAGGGGTAGGCAGAGGTGCACATTATGCCACGGCACAATATAACACCCACTTTTCACTATTTATGTTGTGAGTCACATGTAATAGAGGGTGAGCTTATTGCCATATACCGGGCACAATTCCAGACTCCGTGCTACCACTGTCATTTTTTTAACACAGTGCTTAGAATAGTCCATTATTTGGGATCCATCATGGAACATCTGATGAGTATATAAGTAGGATGTTGACTATCTTCATTTATCCTTTTTCCAGCCACTCATCAAGATGTGATGGGTGCGTTTTTTAAAACACGAGACCCTTGCCCGGCAGTGGCACTTGCGACCACTCAGTCAACGAGGCAGTCAGTCAGTCAGTAAATAAATAAATTATGATAATTAATATAACATTATCACTTTTCAGAAAAACATCGTGTTCCGCCAAGGTTACGGTTTAACGGAGACCAACGGAGCTATTTCCGTGGGTAAGAATGATGACTCGAACCACGCTTCAGTTGGACACATATTGGGTAACAGTGAGGTCAAGATTATTGACTTAAATACAAAAGAGGCTTTGGGACCGGGAGAGGCAAGTATCGACTTAATTGTTTAGTATTTAAAGTTTATTTTACAGAATTATACATTTGGAATTAAGTAGTCAGATACTATATAATATCATCTAATTTTATTCCTCGAAAAGTTGGGCTAAGTGCCAACTATTTATCTACATATTTTTATCTACACAACAACAAATTCTGTGTACTCCTAAATTTCAGGTAGTTAACATGTATATTATGTACGGTACATTTATAAAGTTACATACATTTTTGAATAGATGGCGCTTATCTCAAGTTTTTATTGATGGAACACAAGATGGAAAATAAGTTATAACTATTAACTAGTTAGCATGGCTATTGTTTTACCTTTACAATGCCAGATAATTTCATAATTATAATTTACATTGCCGCGCGGTTTTACCCGCTCTGCTTGGCGACCATTTATCGCAGCATGATGTTTTATACCCTATAGCTTTTCTCAATAAATGCAATACCAAACACAAAAAGAATTATTCAAATCGCGTTCAAACAAACAAACAAACACTTCAGGTTTATTTTCATTGGGTTCTTTCCTTATTCAAAATAAATAAAAAAAATACGTTATTTTGACTGTCCAATATAATAAAATATTAAAAAATAACTTTATTAATTGATTTTGTGACCAACTTTATTTTAGTTTTTTTCTAGCAAATTTTTATAAAATAAGCGTGCTGTTTGACACTAAAAAAACATGACGTCACAATTCACAATCTCGTACAAAATTCATACAAATCTGTAATTTTTGACAGTTCGAAAAAAGTATTGAATTTCACTAGTTGGGTAATACCCAATTCTTTGCTTTTAATTTCCAGGAAGGTGAAATCTGGTACCGTGGTCCAAATCTAATGTCCAGTTACTATGAAAACGAGGAAGCGACCAAGGAGGTGCTGACGGAAGACGGCTGGTACAAAACTGGGGACATCGGGCGATACGATGAGAACAAGTATTTATATGTCACCGACAGACTGAAAGAGCTTATAAAGGTGATTATCCTTACTATTATAAATGGGAAAGTGAGTTTGTTTGTTTGTTTGTTCCGCCTTCACGCCGTAACTTCTAAACCGATTGCTTTGAATTTTTGCAGACGTAAAATTAGAAGTCCAGATTAAATAATAGGGTACTTTTTATCCCGGAAAATTTTGGTATTCCCGAGGGAAAACAAAAGCATTGGTATAGATGGCGCTGTGTGTATTGGTATAGGCTACTTTTATCCTTTTGTGACGCAAGCGAAGCCGCGGGTAAAAGCTAGTTTGATTATAACGCAAATTAAGTAAGACATATTAAAAGAAAAGAGCATGACATAACATCACGCCTTTTATCCCCGAATGCGTAGGCAGAGGTGCACATTATACCACTGTACAATGTAACACCCACTTTTCACTATTTATGTTATGAGTCCCATGTAATAGGGGGTGAGTCTATTGCCATATACCGGATAATTCCAGACTCTGTGCTACTACTGAGATTTTTTTTAAACCCAGTAATATTTTGCCCGATTTGCTACTCATTTTGAGTAGTAATATGTAAATATCGTGCTTTCCTGAATTCATAGTGCTTGACAGAACTATACTTAAGTGCTACTGAAGATTGAGTTAGCGTTCCGAGATTTCGACATAATTTTACTTACATAACATCACGCCTTTTATTAATAGGGTAGTTGCCAGAGGATAACAATTAAAAATCTAATCAGTCCGTCAGTTAGAAAATGAAAAAATATTAGACACGTATTTTTTATTTTCTCTTAAAAAGTTACAATACTTAGATAAAATGGAGTTAAGTTTAGGAGTGGGAGGTCTTTACTATGCGCTACAAAATGTACCGCATAGTGACGTCACACGATATTTCAGATTAATAATATCGTCGAAAGTATTTAATTTTGTGAGAAAAGACAAAATACCTGTCTAATGTTTTAAATTAATCTACCAGAACATTTAAATAAAATTTAGGAAACTACCCTATTAATAAAGTTAAAATGTTACAATTACAAAATTTTTACAACTAGGATAACATATTTTTCTCTGATATGATAATTATGAGGTTCAAAGTTTAACAGCAATTTACTTCTAGGCGTTTCCCGGGTTCGACTCCCGGGTCGGGCAAAGTATTACTGGGTTTTTCAAAAAAATCCACAGTAGAAGCACGGAGTCTGGAATTGTGCCCGGTGTATGGCAATAGGCTCACCCCCTATTACATGGGACTCGTAACATAAATAGTGAAAAGTTGGTGTTACATTGTACAGTGATATAATGTGCACCTCTGCCTACCTCTTCGAGGATAAAAGGCGTGATGTTATGTATGTTATGTTAATTACAAAATTTTTACAAGGATAACATATTTTTCTCTGAGATGATAATTATAAGGTTCAAAGTCCAAGTTTAACAGCAATTTACCTCTAGGCGGGAGGTATCTATAGTATGGATAACTACACACTGTTTTACCTCCAATCAACATCAATGTTTACCATATAGTTCTAAAAATACAAAAAATAATTAAATTATTACAGGTAAAAGGCTTCCAAGTACCACCAGCAGAATTAGAAATGGTACTACGAACACATCCGAAGATTCTTGACTGTGCCGTCTTGGGTATACCAGACCCGATCTCAGGCGAAGTGCCCAAAGCCTTCATTGTATCACAACCGGGACAAACTTTAAAAGAAGAAGAAATATTAGAACATGTTAATAACCAAGTCACGATCTACAAGAAGATTAAACAAGTACAGTTTGTTAACGAAATCCCTAAGAATGCTGCCGGTAAGATACTTAGGAAACAGTTAAAGGAAATGTATTGTTAGTCCTCAAATGATTAAAGGTGTAGGTTAGTAATTTAGAATGGTTGTGAAGACATAATGTAAGTATGATTATCAATATTGCATTTAAACATTCATTCACGATTTTCAATAACATTTGCAAAGTGACTGTGTTGTTAGCTTGTGCCAAACTTGTGGCATTGTTTGTTGCCCGAGTAGTTCCGCGGCCTACCGATAGATGTCACTGTGCCGTGACGTCATTTTCTGAATCGCGGTGTTAAGATTCTCCGCGAATGAATGACCCTCGCCGGTTGTCGACGTTCCAGTATCGCTTCTCGGCCTTTTGGCTAAGATCAAAGTGTAGTATCTGTTCTTTTCAGCTTAATATCTGAAAGTTCCCTCACTGAGGGACCAGTATATTAAACTGATTTTTGTAAACTGACGGGATGTTCGGGGCTCGCTCCACTCCCGTCACGGGTCGGCCCGGCATTGCAGTGCCGCCGGGATCGGCCCACAGAATTCCATAAAAATCCTCTTTACATCTGTGTTCTGTTCTGTAGTATAATTAATAGGGTTACCTATATTCCGTGTGGGACTGTGGGATTATTTATCACTGCAGTAGTCTCGGATCTTCACTCTCACTCAGAACTAGCTTTTTGCTTATGGATTAACTACAACATGATTACATTTAATGACTTGCCAGCCGGTTTTTGAGACATTCAACAATCATTGAAATAATGTAGAGATATAAAATCAATTTCAGTATTATAAAATTTGTAGTAAGTATGTAAAAGATTTGTAAAAATTATGGCCATTTTCGAAAATACGTGGAAGTCTACGGAATTCATGTCTCTTGCTTATGAAACCGTCATCGACGGGAAACCATATTAAAAAAATAATGTCTTTTTCTAAATGTATAAAATATTAAGTCTGTATACAAAAATGCATTTTTTCTATACATATTTTATGAATAATGTATTCTTTATTTTTATACGTAAAAGGTAAACTAACAATTTGTCTTTGGGATCAAGAAAAATCAACAATTTAACATAATTATGTTATAACTACATAATATAATAATGTTTTTGTAAAAAAGAAATACGTTTTTGTAGCTATTGTTAAAATGACAATAATTGTATTTTATATTAAACCGTTTAATGGTTTAATTACCGTGTAAGATTCGACAAATGCGAATTTGTATAAGATTTTTTTATGTTTAATGGTGTTTTAGTTATATTTAATTATGGTATTAAGTATTCTCGGTGAATGTTTATGTAATTATAAGTTTAATTATAATTTGTAAGTAATATTACGTTTATACTATAAGATACAAAACAAAATCAGTCAATCAACTATTTTGCTAATATAATATTAAACAATATGCAATACAAACTAGTCTATAATGTTTTTGTAAATACAATTTGTTTTGCTAATTTATTCAATGTTTAAAAATCAATTGTATTATTTTACAAAAATGTATTGTATTGAGTACATTTCATTTTACTGTAAAAAAAGTAATAAAATCAGAAAGTAATCTATAAAAATGACATCTAGGTAGGTATACAAACTAAATTGTTTTATTTTGCCTTTAGTTCTTTAGTCAATAAAGTTGGTATTTCCTTGAAATGAATATTTTTTAACTAGAATCTAGCGGTTGTGCCGTTATTTGCCAAAATCACTATGTTCATAATGTGCCTTAAAAGTAATTTGTTATTGAAGAGAAGTATGTTATAATGTTATATATTTTAAGATAGGTATTCAAATACCTAATATACGTTAAATAAAAATAATTCTACTTTATATTTTGTCATTTTATTTTACAGTGTATGGTATTTTCTATAAGTATCTACAATATTTTTTCTTCTCATATAATATCTTCTTAATAGATTCACTTTGTTGCGGGAACCAAGACAGTTACTCATGTCCCTGGGACGCGCCGGACTTCAATGTTCCGGTGTTTTCATGGTTGTATCTACTGTAGATCCTGGCTTACAGGAGTTGCAGCAGTTTTTGGAGGTAGTGGCGGGTATGTCCCTCAAAAACAAGTACCTACAAAGATAATAGATTAAAAATATTAAAATGAAGTTGCCTCCCAAATGAAATCGCAATTAACAAATAGTTGTTAATTATTAAATAATGCCATTGAAGAAAAATATAAACAAACATCTGAAAGACACGCTCTGCAACTTTAGGCTGTTTACAAAAAAACCTTGAGTCTAAAAATAATTTTGTATCTGTGGTTGACTATAGACACACCCATAAAGACCGTCAAACGCTCGACCTTGATATTCGCTAAACACTACGTCATCATCAAGCCCACGTAGAACTAGACGACAGCAGATCAACGCCCCCCTTTTTACCCAATAGATCTTCAACTCTATGGTGTTGGAGTAAAGTCTGAAATGTATTGAAGGAATTTTGACAAATTGGAGGATGATGTGCGTCTAACAAACTATGTTTATTCGGTCGTAATGATGGAAAGTACAGTCTATATTTGCGGGTAAATCTCTGTCTATTATTTCAGGCAAAGAAATATACCCAGTTTTTCCTTCAGTATGACGGCAACCTATATTTAGTTTTGTCCTGTTTTTCTATTAGAAAATATTTATTTAGAGAAGTTCAACTATACGGAGCCACGGACGACTGAACGGGTCACCGGGGCTCCGGCTCGAAGGGCAGGACTGGGAATAGGATGGCTTTAAGTCAGTGGGTATCCAAGAGTCTGTCACTCCCTCTCGCATCACTCAATCGCTGTTAAGCTGTGCTTGTTATTTCATTTAATACCTGTACATATGTATTGTATTACCTTAACATGCAAATAAAGACTTTGAGTTTGAAGTCATTGGATGATTTTCGAAGCCATAAAAAAACTAAAAATTACTAACTAACTTATTACCAGTGAATAAGTCCTACGCCAATAGCACTCACTACCAATACCAATCGACTCGATCAACAAGACGACTAACAACCACCTATCCAGCTGTCCACGAAAATGTAAAAAAGAAATTACGAAGACTTTTACAAGAATTACCGGTTATCTTAGTTATTCAGTTCAGTAACCAATACGTACATTGGGTATGAACCTACTGTGTAAGGAGGTAGATACCTACTTACCTGCTTTATCGCAAAATGTCTACTTTTAACAATTCGCGGCCTTGTACAAATTCTATATCGCAGCCCGAAGTGCATTGAACTTTGCGCTTTCGCGAACTATTTCGATTCTGCTCTTGTTTTAGTAACGGCTCTGGTAGTCAGGTCTGGCACTGGTACATTCGTTGGTGGGTGTGTCATGGGTAAATGCGTTTTTATATATCTTTAGAGTACGTATCTACCTACCTTTATAAATTGGTGTTCCGCCCCGTCTCCCTCGCCTCGGGTGCTATTCATTGCTTATTCTAGTATATATGTTGATGTTATCTTTCTTACAAACCTCGACAGCAAGAAACATGAAAAAAATTGGCACCTATATGAACGAGAATGTTTATATCTATAGACAAAAGCCTCAACGATTTTAAAACCAGTGGAAGACAGATGGCAGTATACCACATAAAATATTACTAGCTACTTCCGCGCAGTTTCACACGCTCTGCTCAGCTCCTATTGGTCGTAGCGAGATGTTTTATAACCTATAGCCATCCTCGATAAATGCGCTATCCAACACAAAAAGAATTATTCAAATCAGATTTGTAGTTACGGAGATTAGCGCGTTCAAACAAACAAACTAACTCTTCCGCTTTATATAATAGTAAAATATTATTTCAGCCAAATCGAGATAAGATTCAGTGCCAACCAAAAAACTAATTGGGAAAACCCAGGAAGAAGAAGAACGACATTCTATACATTTAAAAAACAATACCTACATACCTACTTCAATACTTTCAGGTTAATTCACGTTTTAATAACTCTACAGACATAAAAAAATATTATTGCACTTTCTAAGGGCAACGTCTGCAGAGAGTCTTGGGAGAAACGTAACCGGTTTGGTCACAAGGTGTAGTGCAACTGCAGTCATTCTTAATCATTCATATCGATATAGGTAAGCACTTATCGATAATATTATCGATTGTTCATTTAATGGTGCATAGTAAGCCAATCGTTTTTGTTTGTTTGTGCCAAATAAGGCCCTGCAATTATTGGCATCAATAAAAAAATCTACCTACTTCTCAACGAGTAGGACCTAACTTAGAATGTTTTTTAAATTACAATTTGGGTATTTACTTTCTCAAGAATAAAAAAATTCGATTGTTTAATACCTACAATAAAATATTAAAAAATAATCACACTTTCATTAATATTGATCAAATTTTTAAGAAATAAGAATGCTGTTTGACACTTAAAAAACGTGACGTCACAATACACAATCTCGTACAAAATTCATAGAAAACTGTCGTTTTTGACAGTTCAAAAAAAGTATTGAATTTGACTAGTTGGCAAATACTTACCCAATTATTTTTAATCTATTATCTGTGAAACATATCAAGCTATATCTTTCACAGATATTATGTAACTAATTTTGTCGTATTAGGCTAAGTACCTGTGAAGATTAAATTAGCTGTTTTTTGATATAAATAAATAAAAATAAATAAATAAAATAAATAAATAAATAAATATCTACATACTTTAAAACTACTCGAATAAAAAAAAATCCTGACCTACCTACCTACAATCATCAACGTTTTTATGTTTTAAATATACCTATTTTGAATTCTGCATTAGGTACCTACAAACCTATAATGGATAATAAGGATAATTAAGTTACTAATTACTTCTCTGGTATACTTATGTATAGATGCCAAGAAAGCCAGATGGGTTGTCCGTACCTACCTATACATACTTATCTAAGTAGGTATCAATGTCGTACGAGTACAAAGTCTAAGTTCAAAGTAAGGATAACTAAATAATAACTTAACAACTTGCAATCATTCAATGACGACCTTATGAATATCTCGTTTTACCTATTACTATTAATATTATCTATTTATTTAATATCTCTACTTATTTATCAGGAGTATTCCTGTCTTATTATTTTAACCTTTGTACTTATAATGTTTGTACTTTGTACCCGCCAGCGATTAGTGTAGAAATAGTGATTTCGAAAATGAAAACAACATTCAAAGTCCATTTTGTCTTCAATTTACTTTTGATTGCTAACTTAAATGTTAAAGAAATTGTTTAGGTATAAATTACTTGTCCTAGAATTTGTATCTAATAATAATATTGTTAGTGCTCCTTTCGCCTGTGAAACAGGATATTCTTCATAATAGATGGATACTAAGAAGAATATCCTATGTGTCCTACGACCTATATACAGGCATTCAAACTTAGTGAGATTTAAAATTAAAATGTTTGTCTGTGTGATGACTAAGTTAGTTAAGTGTCTACAATGAATAAAGATTTTTATATTAAAGGAATAATTATTACTATAATTTATAACTAAGCAGGAATTTTAGGAATAAAAGACGATACAATATTAGCAAATTTACCTGTTTGCAGTAAAATAAAATTAATTTTAAAATAAAGAAACATCGATATACATAATTATTCATCTACAAAAATAAATTCACAATAAAAAGACGACTCGCGGATCTAACAATGTGTTGTTTAAATAAATTGTTATCAGCTATCTACTTTTGCAAACCGTGCATTCGGTGCAAATTAGCAAAATTATCAAGTTCAAAGTATTCGTGTGGTACGTTTAGTTTCGTTGATTCTGTCAGTCGCGTCGACCCGCGACAGTCGTTCACTCGCCTCCGTCAATCGCGCGCGAACATGCAAAATATGGCGCGAAAACTCCTTTTACGCGAAATTAAAAACTTAAAATGGCAAAGGAAACTTCAACTAGTGCTGTGTTCAGGAATGAAGATTTTATTATAAGGTCTACTATTCCTGATATTGTGGTGCCAAAGACAAGGTTTATTGATCGTTTGTGGGCTGAATCGGCGGGATATAAAAATCTTGTTGCACTGGTAAGTACTTAACTGGTTTGTTTTAATATTTATGAAGGGTATTTAGTAGATTTTTGACCTTATGTCATTTTGAAACAAAGTTAAAAATCAATATAAAAAATGTTAAGTGCGGGTACCTACCTAGTTTATTAGGCAAGCCAAGGAATTCGAGTTCAAAATGTAAGTCGTGTAAGTAATTAGGTAACAAGTAGGTAAATAAATTGTAGGTCGTACACCTATTTATGCGTGAAATTGAAGTCTTATCAAAACGAAGCGTGGAACGAAGTGTTATCAAAGCTATATGGGGCCGCGAATAAAAAACAAATAAAATTTGTATTTTAAACTAGAAAATTGGACTTTGTACAGAATCTGTTACAATATTTAAAGCAACTAGATGTTTTGTGGAGCGACAAAACATCTTACTCATCAATTACTAGTCAATTGGGTTAAACAATTTGCTCCGCTTTGGAATTTGAACCAGTTACGTTACACGATTGTTTTATTATTTAACCGCCATACTAAGTACCTAATTGTTCGTAAAAATCGCAAGTCAACGAATTTTATCAATAGGTACATAATAGTAGAATAATAAAGAGTTTCGGGAAAGAACGTTTACCTATCGCGTAAATAATCGTTATACTTAATAACAAATAAATATATTTGTTTGTACAAAATATAGGTTTAAAAATAAATAGAACTAAGTAAAATAAAACCGGAAAAACTCTGTAAAGACAACCTAACATTACAAGTAAGGGTGCGGGAGGATTACGAGCAATTAAGGGCCTCTTTGAGTAATTTTTAGGTAAGAGATGGTTTAGTGATAGTTGGTAAAAATGAGTATTACTCTACTTAAATAATAATGAATAATTTAATCTACATAATGTAATTAATTCGTTGCTAAAAACATCGGAATTTTCGACAATACCTAAAACGACCTTATCTTTTATGTGCTGACAACCTGCAAGGCTATAATTTCTGAAAAGAATTAATCTGTTTGTAAACAAGTATTTTCATTGAAAAAGTATTTAAGGTAGACCTTGATTATTTTGTGTGTATTTTATCATTTTATGATAAATACAGAGTGCTAATAAAATCGACACGTATTGATCACGTAAGTCGCGGAGAACCTAACGGGTTGCCGGGGCTCCGGCTCGACGTGCAGGAGAAGGAACGGGGTGGTTTTTAGTCAGTAAGAGTCTGACACTCCCTCCCGCCTCACCCAGGCGGGAGAAGTCATTAGATGATATCTTAAAAAAAAATCACGTAAGAACATGTATAAAAATATATCGTAGCTCTGTTTATGTCATAATATTATGTAGATAGGTAGAGGAAGCGATATTATTTTGATTTTTTCCTTAAATTAATTCCTGCATACATCTATGTATGTATAATTAATTTGATCTAATAAACATAGCATTAGGTCAATTCATAATACGTTAAACTTGAAATAATTGATTAGTTTTATATTAAGGTTATCGTAAAGATAACATACATACAACATACATACATACATACATACAAAACTTTACGCCTGGCTCCCATAAGGGAAGGCAGATACTATGGAACACCAATTGCTACATACCTCTTATCTTCGTATCTCTTATATCCGTCTTTCAAAAAAGGTAAAAGATGAAGATAAATAAAAAAAGGTATTTTTACGATCATGATTTTCTTTATACTAAGTACCTATTTATCTTTTAATATATAAATTGCTTGCTGTGGTTAGTTGTTGCGTTGAAGATCACTAAACGAAATTATACCAAACATTGATTCTGTAATCGTGTATGTGTATTGGAAAAATCAATTTTCTTATAAAGGCATGTTAGCCACATAATATTAACCGCATAAGGAACCACGATGTCATCTTTACTGTTTTTTACTCTTTATAAGTAGTTCAACTGGCTACAATGACCCTGACCTTGCTTGCTTATATATTTAAATTGAATATTAATTAATATGAAGATACATACTCTTAAATTTTTCACAGTCAAGTTACATTTTCTTAAAAAGCGACTGGTCTTTATGATTCCTATTTTATCTGTGCAATATGTCAGCGCAATCGGTGCAACGGATTTACCCAAAAAAATTAATAATTAAGTACCTATGACTTTATGACTATGACACACCGTCAGTGTATTAAGTAATATTTTCCCGTTATTTAGCTTCAGTTTTGTTTACATGGACTTTGAGTTTTAGAGATGACAAAATTGTCCATGAACTTCGAACGCGGGAATCCCATTCCTAGTGAAGTTGTTATTTCCCTCTCATATGACACTCACTTAAAATTATGTTAAACTAATGACTTACGGATGCACAATAAACTGAATAGTAAATATAGGTATACTACTTAGTACTTACGCCTAGAAGCATCAAAAGATAAATGTTATAATGTAGCCTATCCTTTTACGGCGGTGGCGACTTCTCGCGTCCGGCTCTGGCTGGTTCAGTCCATGGTGCAGAGCAAGGGGAATTAGGATACCGTCTCCTGCTTCTACGAAGCAGTCATGCTTGCCAAGGAGGACGAACTTCCTCACGCCCCAGTGGTCGCGGGAGACACTCCAGGCGTCAGAAAGCAGAGATCGCGCGACAATTTTTTTTTAATATTTGATGGCAGTCGTTTGTCTACTATCTTGCCTGGTGGTAAGCGATGATACGACCTACGATGGCGCACGGCAGTCCATAAGCAACCTATTCACTCGGACCTTGAAGACACCCAGGATATAACCTTCAGGAAACAATAAAAAACACACACCCATACATCCTCACAAAATTTCGCATTTATGAAGTTAGTTAGCACTCTAAAACATGGTCAAAACAACTTAGGCTTTAAGTACTCCTAAGTACTAGATATCCCCAAGGTCTATGTCCACGTTGGCCTAGATATGATTTGTTATGACTATCTCTTTAGAGTGTAGCATTTCATTTATCATCTCTTTACGTTTTATCGTTCACTTCAAGTCATAATAAATAATACGTACCTAACTATCATCACAGAAATCTATAGGCCGGTTTGAAGAAAAAGTAAAAAAAACTTAGTTAGCAATCGAAACACGTTAACCGAACTATCTAAACAGCTATTCATGTCACCTAGTAACAAACTAAATTCTACACTAGTCTAGACGCGAAATCTTAATCCTAAAATACATTCTAGACTTTGAACCTCACAGGAATAGAGTTGAAAATACAATCAACAGCTGTTCTGATCTGTTACCGATTTTATATCAATGTGTTGTATACATTGACGTTTTAGTAGGGCTATTGATTGACACTCTTATTTGAGTGCTAATAAAGTTGGTAATGGAACTGAAATATTGTTATATCAAGGGATAATATCTGAAATTGGAGTATATTTTCAGGATGATACGGTTATTGGAGTTGGAACTATACACAATACTAAACAATATGACACGACAAATGTGGTACTTAGATATTCAATTATGTGAACAGTAATATCTTTTAATAAAATCTGACATACATAAATAATAATTAGGTACTTATGTCTGTTCTGATGTCGTGGTGGCCCAGAGGTTTAAGACAACAGCTTCCCATGCATGAGAGTGAAATGCGTCCCAACAGCAACCTATGTGACTTTTTCCGAGTTATATATACTTTCTAAGATTATTTAGACACCACTGACAAACGGTGAAGGAAAACATTGTGAGGAAACCTGGGCTTATGATGAAATTATAAGTTTGAAATCGCCAACCCGCACTGATGAAGCGTGGTGATTAATGTTCAAACCTTTTCCGAGTGAGAAGAGGATTTTGCTCAGCAGTGGCCACTTATAGGCTGTTGATGATGATAATGATGATGACGTCGTTTCCAGATGTACTATTGGCAATAGGTTCCAACAGCGTTTTTCAAAGTCGAAGTTCAAATCTATCTCATCTATCTGGACCTGAAAGTTATCAATAGTAATAAATACTTTTATAGTAGATACTTTTTCAATGCGTCTAAATATTAGTCCAGTAAAGAGATCAAGGAGTTACTCATACCTATTTCTAATAGGAAAGCTATAGCATCACGAGACGGTAGTACTAAATATTCTGTTAGCGTGCACTGCTTACAGTTCATTGAACCGTTTGTGCTAAATACACGTCCAATTACAAGATCACAGCCGGCAATGAAGAGTGAAGTTTTTGATTTATGGAAATGTGTATAATTGCTTTATTTGTCTTGAAGGGACACTATTTGAGATTCTGTATTATAAGTCGTGTGATTTAGAGTTATTTTATCACCATTCCTATTCATTCTGAGGGTTTTGTCTTAAGAACAAACTAACTAACAACACACGTCTTATAAAGAGCAGGCCCATAGAATGCCCATAGGCCTGTAGTAAACTGTTCTGTCAATATTATACTAACTTCCGCGCGGTTACACTCGCTCTGTTCGGGTTCTATTGATCGTAGCGTGATGTTTTATAGCCTATAGCCTTCGTGAATAAATGAACTGTCCAACACAAAATGAATTTTTCAAATCGGCCCAGTAGTTCTTGAGATTAGCGGGTTCAAACAAACAAACAAACAAACAAACAAACTAAGTCTTCAGCTTCATATAAGAAGACTTATAACATTATCGGCGAAACTGGGTGAATTTTTGCAGATTGCAGTCTACCTTTAATTATTTTTATTTTAACCTGTATTTCATTTTTGACCGTGAATTTAATATCCTTCGCCCGTGAGTTTAATATCCGTTTTTTTTTTAACTTCGAACTAGACTGTTATGTAGGTAAACAGTAGGCCGTAATATATGGTAATAATTACATAACAAATACTTACGTACTAGGTACTAATGCAAAACGGCAATAGTAAAATATTCTTTCAATACTTAAATATTCGTGTTATTTTGTATCTATTTATAAATCAATGTTATTTTGTATTGTATTTACGTATAAATCAGTGACAGAATATAATTGTACTCAAATGTGTAATGTAAATAAATATGTATTTTTTATGGTATGTACAGGAACAGGTTTTGTTATTTGCGGAAGGTCAGGGACAAGGACTGAGTCTGTTCACTAG